TGGTTGGGTTTGGTGTTTGTGCTTGGTTACTTACTAATTTTGGATGGTGTGCTGGGCGGTCTTATCATTGCCAACCTAGTTGGGACTGATTTGTTTCGTTATAATACTTTTTGCACTTATTCTCCCTTTCCCCCTTTAATTCTATCTTCGTTCATCAATAAAGTATCTCTTTTTTTACTGATCAAAAATAATGTCTAAGCCCCTGCCCTCCTTATGTCCAAATCACTAATATGTTGAAGGGTGGTTTTAGTTAATTTAACTTTTTGCCAACGATTCCCATCGTCTAGGAGCAACGAAATGCTTTTTTATTTTTATTTTTTGATAGAAAAACAAAATAAAATATAAGAACTCTCTCAAAAGTCATAAAAACACAAAAATAAAAATAAAAAATAAAAAATAATTTTGGTAATTCAAATCAAACATAAGTGATTACTTTTGCTCTCTCACCATTGGTTCAGTGCATGATTACCGAGAAGCATATATAGTTTCTCAACTTCAGTTTTGAACAATAATCACCTGTAGGAATATGACAACATGGTTGGGATGCATTTTTTTTCAGCGTGATAAAACATTTACTTGAACATGTACTTTCTTTTTCTTTAATTTTTAATTTTTTTAATTTTTTATTTGTTAACGTACTATTATTTAGATCTATGAAAAAAGAGAAATGGAATTACCACCTATGGCAATTTGGCAAATAGAGGAACCTATAACTTGTACTATAGGGGTTGAAGATAGATTAATTAGGTATCCACCTTTCAGAATTTATCACTATTTGTTCTCAGAATGTTACTTATGCCTCGTTTAGAACAGACTAATTTAGTAATTTTTTAGTTATTTGATTAAAATATGAGCTAAAAAAATTAATATGTTTAGGATAATTTTTTTGATTTTTTGCGAAAAAATGTGTAAAGAAATAATATATAAAAAAAAAAAGAAAAGTTAGAAACTTTACAATTTTGCCCTTCACGAAACTCGAAATGACGTGCAGAGTAACGTGGGAGGGGCGTTCAGAATTTTGGAATTTTGTTTTTTATTTTTATTTTATTTTATTTTATTTTATTTATTTTAAAGGAATTTAGAACTACTGTGGAGTTGTTGACTAATGTCAAATGGCATGTATACTACAACACATGGCAATATTCAAAAATCACTATTCCGGACCGCTTTTGTGTTCTGATGTTTTATTATTATTATTATTTTTTTTTTTTTTTTTTGATTTTCACTCCAAAACATATGCAATAATATGTAGGCCTTGTTTGGTTTCTTTTTGAAAAACAAATTTTAAAGAAAATTTTTACAAATTTTATTTCGATTAGTGATTTTGAAAAAAAAAAAAGGATTCAAAATCATTTTTTATCTTTTACACATCAGGGGGCACTTTTTCTTTCTCTTCTATCCTTCTGAATCACTTTTGTCTCTCACAAACATTTACTCAATTATAACAAAATATCAAATCTGTTTAAATTCTCACACTCCAAAACTATTTTCAAAATATACAACCAGACAAACCAAAAAAATTTCTAAACAATTTCTCCAAAAAAACAAAATTTAATTTATCTCTCAAAATCAAACCAAACACACCCATCCTCTTTCGTCCCCAAAAAAATCTTGAGTTATGGCATGGATTTCAAATAAATTATCAATTTGTTTGTGAAAACTTTCACATAGGTGTAAGGTCCACACACATGGTAATTTATTTGGTGTCCATAACATTTTAAAAAAAAAAGTTTGTAATGAATAAAATTTTCCTTTTTGTGTAATGTTTGTGGTATTATGAATGAAACTTGTATAAGAAAATTGAAATTATATTCAATTGGGCAATATTGCAAGTTATTTTGTTTACATTTTCAAATACATGTAGCTTATTTATTTTATTTGTGCAATACTGATTTGTTTGTTTTAGTTGGTTCGAAAAAATGTTGGTCCATGTTCTTTACGTGATCCAGTTGGACACTACTACGAAATATACATAAATGGCCAAAAAAACAACAAAAAAAAAGTACACGAGTATTATCTAATTGTAGTTGGAGAGTATTACCCAATTGATAACAAAAACAAACACACACAAAAAAAACAAAAAAAAAAACAAAACAAAACAAAACAAAAAGAAAAGAAAAGAAAAGCCTCCCTGAACTGAACCAAGTTGGTGAAAAAATTAGGTGCATTTGAATTCCTGTTTTATATTTGAGTCACCTACCTGGACAATAGTAAAATTGTTAGCCAACCTGTAATTGTTAATTACATCTGAATACAGTTAATGCATGTAATATGTATGAAGAAATTCTTTACGACAATCCGTAAAATATAAAATTTGAATTAACCATACACGAATGCAAAATATGACAATTGCATAACACGTTTGTGAATGTCGTAAGTCAGCTTAAAATATGTAAACAGTCTAGTAGGGTATGCATAAATCCTTACAAACCGAGAACTTACAACTACATTTCCCAAAACACATATTACGAAAAACATTTATAAGCAGTCATACTTAACAACCTTGTCCGACTACCAACCATTTCATCGAATTTGGTATAACTCTACCCTTATCCGATGGCGCACCTACGCCATTTCAACATCCTCATCCGTAGGCATGACGGCATCGTCTAGGGTAGCCAAATCTACATGATCGGGAACATTGTCATATGTGTACTCTACCGCATTTCTGACAGTAACAACTAACGCATCATCCTCGCAGTTTCGGCATATGAAATTGTGTAATGCCATAGATGCAGCCACCAACGGTACCTGCACTCTACGAAAATCAAACCGCGGCATGTTGTGCAAGAATCTCCACTGCGACTTTCAAGTGCCAAATGTTCGCTCAATCACACTTCGCAAGGAATAGTGGGCATGGTTGAACAACTCATCACGATTCCTCGGCTTGTGACGTTGAAAGTGTGGTTGGTGGTAGTGGCTGCCCTTATATGGTGCAAGAAATCCCTTCTTATTACTGTATCCACTATCCACTAAATAATAGCAACCTATCAATCTGTACATGTTAATACATATAGCTTTCACGTGTGGGCAAAGAAATTGAACATATTATGGCATTGAAAAAATTAACAACTATGTATAAAAGTCATAAGCAAGGTCTTTATATTGTTGCAATTGTTACATGTTTTTTTTTTTTGCTAGTTTACAGAGGTACACAGGACGTTCGTTACGTATATGGAAATGCGCATATGTTATGCCACGAAATTAATTTTTGGACAATTCAAATGTACATTACAGATGCAGAAGGGTGTACCAATGTGTGCACATAAAATGTTTTGTGCGTACGTACCATCCACTGCAGTTGGAAAATTATATTGTGGATCCTCGGTGACAATGTTTAAAATCCGGCTATCATGCATGCTACCCTCCCAACCGCATGACACAAAGACGAAACACATATTGAAATCACACACTGTTAGAATATTTTTAGTGTGGCAACCCTTTTGGCAAAGATACGGGGCTGCTTCCAACTCCCTTATGCACGCTAGCACGTGTGTCCCATCCAAGGCACCTAAACAATCCTACACAATTCGAACAAGTAGGCAACTGAATAGTAGCATCAACTTATGCATTATAGCCTTGCATTTTTTAACTCACATCTTTGTAGAATTTGACCATGCAAATTGATTTGAAAAAAAAAATTTGCGCACCTTAAACTGCAAATACTGTGGTTGGGTCTGAAGGTGGGGATCTCTCCTATTTTGGAAATCTACAGGCGGTTGACAGTGCGCGGCGGTGAACTTTTTCATTGCTTTCAAAACATTATGAAAATGCCGTGATATTGTTTCGCCGAAGTGTTGGAATCTTTCTTGGAGCTCTCGGTTAGGCAAGTTTTTTAGAACATGAATGAAGATTGTAACACTCTCCTCAACATGCAAGCCGTGGTTCTGCTCATGTACATGCAACCCGAAGTCGTTCACTAGTGTGGCACATAAACATGTAAAAACATGTTTCGGCATACATAGTTCATAGAGAAATCTGCCACTGTGCCCATTATACATTTCTGCTATCCATGCCCTCCCCATCAAGATGGACATGCGACATGGGATTTTAAGCACGTGTGCCTTGTAGTAGTCGGAGGCTATTCTATACGCTTCCACATAATTATTATTCATTTTAGTCTGCCACTCGATTACGAGTGCAGCGACATCATGACACATTTCCTCTATCCGTGCATCGCTGTCATCGTTGCTTTCCATGCCTAAATCACATAACTTCAAATTAAATGGGAAAATCACTAAACAACATGGTAGCTACTACTCTGCAAAATTAAACATGGCACATTAAACATCAGTCACAACTAAAGGCTGTCAATAAATGAAATATTATGTATAAAGAATCAATTACAATTTGTTTGACACCAAATGAGAGCTTCTATTGTATAACTTATGTTCTATTAGCAGTGGTGAAATCATAAATATTTAAATTGCACTTTCCTTGATACGTTAACACATCATATATATATATATATATATATTCTACCTTACAAAGGGTCGAACTTGTAGTAATCTTTTTTTTTCTGAATAATAAAATATACAAATACCAATGAAATATACAAACAACAATGTTTAAATAAAATATACAAAAATAAGAACTTCAAATCTTTTTTTTGTTTTTACTACCTTACAAAGGGTCTAACTTACACTTTTCACCTGAAGCCTTCAGTGAACTTCAATGCTCTCTCTACAAATAGAAACTCTTTTGTTCAAATCATCGGGTATAGCAGATTTAGAACCACTGTTACATAACTATGAAGTTGCTAATTGGAAGAGTTTGATCAGATTCATGATTTATTCAAATTTAAAATTTTCAAATCCAAGCATAGCCAAACTCAAGCAATACACATCCATAAATTTAAAACCAGGTAAACCTTCCACATGCATAACCATCTCCCTAGCAATTCTCCTTACAACATGGTCCAAACAAAGCATAGTTAAAAAAGCAGGTCCTTACCAAATAGAAAACCAACATATTTACAAACAACAAGTCCAACCAAAAGCACAGTTTCAGGAAATACAAAAACAACATATTTAGAAATGAAGTCCTTCATTGCGCTATATGCTTGCAAGAGTTAGAACACTTGTTGTTCTCTCTTTGCCATGTTGCTTCACCTGGAGCCAGCCAATAATGCCTTCATCCGAAGGAATACTCATCACCATCTCCCTATTATTGGGCACGTCCATAAGTGAAATTCCAAAATGGAGCAGTGGATTAATTTGGTCAAGTCCCTGCATTTCATAAAGACATCCAACTGCTTCGGCTATAGTGACACTATGGCCACCGACAACATGGTTTACAGTGAATCCCTTGCTTTGGGCCTTTACCGAATTAACCAAATCATCCATGCTTGTTGCCAATGCTTCTGCCCCAGTGATTCACTTTTTTACACGGCTGTGACGGATGAGTGCCTCTTTTTGCTGCCACTACCTGATGCGTTAATGGTTGTGGATTTAATCAAGTTAACCATTTCAGCTACTCCCAATTCGTTGCTGTTCATAGAAAAGTCAACACTGTCGGACTCCCCTTCCACCTCCAACTGGTTTCGCGTCTCGCCAGGCGTCCAAGCATTTTTACCCGTTGCTGCAGCCCCAGTGAATACGCAACGCATCAACTCCTCATGATCCAACCGCTTTGTTCTAAACTTGCAACTTTCTTTATCAACCTGTAATACAATAGAATACGAGTACACAATTAGCGAAATGAATAACTTATATACATGGAGTATGCACAAGAGTAATGAACAGTATAAGCATGAACAGTCTATGTGCTGATAGAAAAAAAAAAAGAAAACCAAAATATGTTAGAATTGTCATGGCATGTTTCCTGTTTATTTCAATGTTGTAGGCATGAAAAGTATACGTAAATGTTGTGACATGTTTATGGAGTTTAACATCTGTTTATGGCATAGTTGGCTAGTTCGATGCCTAACAAAATTACGTAAACATAAGTTAAAATCGTTACCTTCTCCATTCTAGCCCACCATTCATCTGACGCATTGATCAACCCTGTCTCTTGGTCGAACCCAATTCCAGTGGGGCCTTTGCGGTTATCCATTAGCTTCGACCATGCACGCCACTCCACCTTAAGTTAATTGTACCTATTTTTAAGTTGTTTCATGGTATGCGTCAATCCAGTTGCTGCCTCATAAGTCTTAGACAAAGACCGGTACCTATTCTGAGTGATTGACATGTGCGGCCTATTACCTGCGTCTATTTCCTTAACAAGTTCCAAAAAGATATGTGTTCTTCTAGTCCCAATTTGCTTTGTGATGAGGTTTTGGGCCCTTCCCTTTGGCGGAAGGGGTACGAGAACCGGATCAAGTTGAAGCCATGCGACTATAAGTACATTATAATTTGGGTAAATTGCAATGCATTAGTTGTAGCAAAGATGTGAACCATATATTATTATGTTTGTATATTACGTATCGCATTATTAAAATCACAAAAGAAACGCAAGATGTTGATGCTCGCAAGTTGTACAAATGTTTTGTTTTGGAACGGGATTGTCGTGCACACATTTATGAACATAGAATTCAGAAACTACAACTTCGCAAACAACATTGAACACAAGGAACACATATGATAAGTAATATATTACATGCGGAAAGCATAGTACGGTAACCATATAAACACGGATACATATATTACATACGGACAGCATAGTACGGTAACCATCTAAACACGAATACATATATTACATACCGACAGCATAGTGCGGTAACCATCTAAACACGGATACATATATTACATACGAACAGCATAGTACTGTAACCATCTAAACACGGATACATATATTACATACGGAACAATAAAATAACGACGATCATGGACAGAAAACATGTCACAACTTTAAGTACACGCAGAGTCTGTTCTATGTCAATCAAACGCGCCTCAAAACAACGAACATTGTCTCTGTCATTCTCAGGAGGCATTTGTCGGCCATATTCGTCACACCACCCAATCCAATTGACACATGGCTGAGGTTAAAAAAATTATTAATTATTAGTGACGATTTGACAAGGTAATAATCCCAAACAAGGTAGGTGCTTGTACTCACCACTCCACGAGGGCATTGGTAGTACGCACGTCCTGGATTTTTGGCAGACCGAGAAATCTTGACCACACAATGCCCGTACCCACAAGCACACATAGGGCCTGGTTGTATTGATGTCGCAGTTAACATAAATGAGGCCATATAGTCTATGATGACTTGTTTGATGACATGACAAGCACAACAAAACAAGTAAACGAGTGTAACACTTATGGTATGGGATAAGTTTATTGTGTAAACAAGTTTCTTTTGTTAACAACTTTGTCAGTGCACGTCATTTGTTACGTCCATAAGAAATTATGAAATGATTAATTGAAAAAACACTTTTTGAAAAAAAGATTAATTGAAAAAAGAAGTTAATTGAAAAAATGAACCAAAATTAATTAACAAAAAAAAAGGAAAAAAATTTAATTGGGAACAAAACTATTTCAAAAAAAGATTAATAAAAAAATAATTATTTGAAAAATAATTAATTGAAACAAAAAATTAATTGAAAAACATTTATTTGGGAAAAAGGTAATTGGAAAAAAATTAATTGAAAAAAAGTAATTGCAAAAAAAGTAATTGAAAAAAAATTATTTGAAAAAATAATTGAAACAAATTTATTTGGAAAAATAATAATTGAAAAAAAAAATTATCTCCCAAAACAAATAATTGAAAAAACATTAATTGAAACAAAATTATCTGAAAAAAAATGAAAAAAATTAATTGGGAAAAAAATTATTTGAAAAAAAAAATTAATTGAAAAAAGACCAAATACACAACAAATGTGTAAATACACAGCAAATGTCCATGTGGATATACACACCAAATGGTCCTTTTTTTTTTGTTTCTGTTTTCTTTTTCTTTTTTTTTGATTTACTTGGTGCACAATTTCAGAATCCCTATTCGTACAATTATATTTCTAACTGGGAAAGAGTAAAAACGAAAGAGTAAAAACCAATTGTTATATCTACAAGAATTAACACAAACACACCAAAATACAACAATATGTTTTATCAAACAATAATAAATTATGTTTTTCCTAGCTATTCATGTCAGGTTTACTTGTTTTCCGTTAACTTTCTAGCTTGGGTATATTTGTACAAGAATTAACACAACTAACCAATTTAGAAGAAAAGATTTCACCAATCTGTAAATTATGTTTTTCCTGGATATTCATGTCAGGTATACTTTTCTCAATGACAAGCTTTTTATATATGCAACTGTTTAACTTGTAAGAAGCTAAAACCCATTAGTAAATTTCTAGATTGCACACTATCCCTCCATTGGTAACCCATGGGACTAATTTTTTTTGTTATCAAAAATTCCATTTCCAGCACAACTTTTAATTCAAACAGACAAATTTTGGACAAGCTCAACCCATGCGGTAAAGGATCCCATACCAATCTATAAAATGATAGCAAATAAATAACTACTTCCAAAAAAACTAGAAACAAGATTCTTCAAAGAACATGAGCATAGAAATTTTTTTATCCTTGCCTGTTAACAAAGAGAATAGAGAGTGGTTTGGTGACTGAAAATGATTCAGGTCTTGGTGACTGCTCCTATACTTTTTGCTGATCGCACCAACTGAGTTGGTTCTCTTTACGGATGCGGCTAGAGCTTCTTCTATATGAGTCTCGGATTTACGATTTTATAGGTGAAAAATATAGATTGTCGCATTTAGGATTTTAATATTGAAAAATATTGAAGGTAAATTGAAGGTAAAAATAAAAAAAATAAAAAAAAATAAAAATAAATTGTATCCAGAAGCCTTGATTAATGATAAATACACATGTTTAAGGAAAAATGATATCCATTACTTGCACTACATATACATCACTTGAAAATGCAGACACTATTGGAAAAAAAATAAATAAATAAAATAATTCAGGAATTGTTAACAAGGAGCAACATATTAGCACATAAGTGTCCAAAAATAACAAAGCATCAAGCAGAAAAATCAAGACCTTTAAGTAGCTAATTTCACCAAATTTACAAGATTAGTATAAATGATAATTTCATGTCAAAGTATTCAAAAATTATAACCACAGAGAGAGAGAGAGAGAGAGAGAGAGAGAGAGAGAGAGAGAGTAATTGGAAAGATTATACTGACAAATAGCCAAAGTTCTCTCCCTTTGTCTTCTTAGATTTTCAATTACCTTACACCGGAGAAAAGCTATCATCAGAATACTTCCAACTTGTTGAATTCAACAGCTATAAGAACTGAGGACCATAAGGGGATGCTATTTTAAACATATCCACAGAATTTCTCATGGGTGACAACCTTACCAATAGCATAAACAATGAGGCTTATATGAAAATGAGGAATTCTATTTTGGCTGAAACAGATAAGAACGAGGAGCTAAAGATAATGCACATCCATAATGTCTTTGATCTGTCTGTGTTGTATGTGAAGGATTTGTATTGAAACATATGTGAGGATCAACCATTCATGAATGGTATAACTGAATAACTTCATTTCTGGTGCAAAATGTGGGATCCTATTTAAGGGACTTTCTTGTTAATTACCCAAATGCGTTGTAATTATAGCGATCCCGGGTTTACCCTTGTTGTACAGTGATCCGGACATGTGTCCGTGGATGTTGGTAGTTGTTTATTATCTTGTTTGCATCCTAAGAGAGAGCGAGAGCGAGAGACAGAAGAGTTCATACATATACAAAAAACAGAGCATACAAGTCATGGTTATGAGATCCACACTCCGGCACCAACAAACAACCCGCATATTGCTAAACTGCTCTCGGTAGGTGAAAGGAAGTCCTAAAACCCCCAACATGGCAGTAAATAGGCGACTTTCTGCAAAAATTTACCCAACTTTGAATTTTGAAGACAAATTCAAATAAGAAAATGGTCAGACAGAGCGACAGACACACACACACACAGAGACAGAGAGATCGCGAAAGAGAGAGAGAGAGAGAGAGAGAGAGAGAGAGAGAGAGAGAGTTCATACATACATACAAACCAAACAGAGCATACGACTCATGGTTACATAGCGAAATAAAAAGAAGAAAGGCTGAAAAGAGAGAGAGAGCGAGAGCATACCTGCAGTTTGGGGGATCGTCGGAGGAGGGACTGCTTTTCTGTTCACCTTGGCAGACTATCGTCGTCGCTTGGTTCGTCTTTCTCTTCAGATTTGAGCTTCTACAATGATCTGGCCTTGAACGAAGGGCCCTCTTCATCTTCACTCTTTGATGTAGCTGAATAGCTCTAGCTACTACACCCTGTGTGATAATAGCTCTGCAGATATTCCCATCAATGTTTGACATAAAGCGAGGGGTGAAAACGATATAAACAAAATCAAGGAGGGGCAAAACGGTCATTTTACACTACAGTTGGCAGACTTCCCGTGCAGCTATTGTACATAGGTTTTTAGGGTGACTTTTTGGCTTTTTTAGTAACTTTTTGGCTTTTTGGCTAAACTGAAGGGTTCCCAAATGAGGCCTTAATTGGGTGTCCAAATTTTTAAGTACCCTCAACTTCATATTCACCACCATTACTCAACTAATTACACTTCCAAAATCTACTACCGCAACCACACCATACCTACGACTGGAAAATGACATCCAAGATGGGATTACACAGAATGATCATCTGGACCCGCATTCGCTACAATCTCAATCACCACCACCACCTTTATCAGTTCAATCATCATCAAAGAAACACATGGAGTTGAGCAGCCAACTCGAGACTATATTGTCTGACAAAGAGGTACCGCTGTTTCACCGCCTTCAAAGTGCTACTTGGATAGAATTGAAGCTACTGTTTAAACTCGCTGCTCCGACAATTTTTGTACGTATGGTGAGCTTTGGCATGCCAACCTCCACCCAGATCTTCTCCGGCCACCTCGGCGACCTTGAGCTCGCCGCTACATCCCTCCGCAACAATGGCATCCAAATGTTTGCTTGCGGTCTCTTGGTACACTACAAAAAAAAAAAAGCACTTTCAGATACCTTTTTTTTAAGTCACCAAAAGTATAATTTTGGTTGCTAAAAGCATCTGCGACATCAACAAAATTGGTTGCTAAAACCCTGTCACTAAATGATTTAGTGACCAAATAAATTATTGTCTCCTTTATAAATAAATCGGTGACCAAATATTTTAGTCGCCAAAAGACTAAAATTTTGTCGCCATAAATTAACATTTAGTCACTAAAAGTAACCTTAAGCGGATGACATGTTAGGTTTTAGCGACATATAAATGCGTTGCTAAAAATATCTTTCAGCGACTAAATGATTTGGTTGTTAAATGTTGAAACTTTGGTGAACAATCAAGTTTTGGGTCGTTAAAAAATTTATTCACAAAGACTTTCAACAACAGAAACAAAGTGTCACCAAAAGTAAATTTACAACTGAAAAATCTGTCACCAAAAATTTATTATTTATATATATATATATATATTTTGTATATTTCTGCTGGGCTGTGGCTCACCCTATATGGGAATATCATTTTCAGGTACAGGTAGCATGCCACCTCCAAGGACATAGCTTGGGAGGCTAGAGGCGGACATACTTTTGTCGTTTTCTTTTTGATGTATTACACTTAATTTCAAGCCAAGGGCTTAATGTGTAATGAGTTAGTACTCTTTTGTTGTAACCAAGTGTTAACTTGGAAAGCTGTAAGCCCATAGGGCATTTGCTTTTGTTGTTAACATGTAATACTTTTGTAATGAAACTCTGATAAATAAAAGAATGTGGTTATTTCATATGTCAACGAATGTCTTATTTGATGGGTTTAATGTTATTAATTTGAGGGCGTTACAGTAATTTTTTTTTTTATAACACATAATATGTTCAGATTGGCAAGTGGTGATACACACACACACACACACAGACAAAGACAAAGAGAGAGCGAGAGCGAGAGACAGAAGAGTTCATACATATACAAAAAACAGAGCATACAAGTCATGGTTATGAGATCCACACTCCCGCACCAACAAACAACCCGCATATTGCTAAACTGCTCTCGGTAGGTGAAAGGAAGCCCTAAAATCCCCAACATGGCAGTAAATAGACGACTTTCTGCAAAAATTTACCCAACTTTGAATTTTGAAGACAAATTCAAATAAGAAAATGGTCAGATAGAGCGACAGACACACACACACACAGACAGAGAGATCGCGAGAGAGAGAGAGAGAGAGAGTTCATACATACATACAAACCAAACAGAGCATACGACTCATGGTTACATAGCGAAATAAAAAGAAGAAAGGCTGAAAAGAGAGAGAGAGCGAGAGCATACCTGCAGTTTGGGGGATCGTCGGAGGAGGGACTGCTTTTCTGTTCACCTTGGCAGACTATCGTCGTCGCTTGGTTCGTCTTTCTCTTCAGATTTGAGCTTCTACAATGATCTGGCCTTGAACGAAGGGCCCTCTTCATCTTCACTCTTTGATGTAGCTGAATAGCTCTAGCTACTACACCCTGTATGATAATAGCTCTGCAGATATTCCCATCAATGTTTGACATAAAGTGAGGGGTGAAAACGATATAAACAAAATCAATGAGGGGCAAAACGGTCATTTTACACTACAGTTGGCAAACTTCCCGTGCAGCTATTGTACATAGGTTTTTAGTATGACTTTTTGGCTTTTTTAGTAACTTTTTGGCTTTTTGGCTAAACTGAAGGGTTCCCAAACGAGGCCTTAATTGGATGTCCAAATTTTTAAGTACCCTCAACTTCATATTCACCACCATTACTCAACTCATTACACTTCCAAAATCTACTACCGCAACCACACCATACCTACGACTAGACAATGACATCCAAGATGGGATTACACAGAATGATCATCTGGACCCACATTCGCTACAATCTCAATCACCACCACCACCTTTATCAGTTCAATCATCATCAAAGAAACACATGGAGTTGAGCAGCCAACTAGAGACTATATTGTCTGACAAAGAGGTACCGCTGTTTCACCGCCTTCAAAGTGCTACTTGGATAGAATTGAAGCTACTGTTTAAACTCGCTGCTCCGACAATTTTTGTACGTATGGTGAGCTTTGGCATGCCAACCTCCACCCAGATCTTCTCCGGCCACCTCGGCGACCTTGAGCTCGCCGCTACATCCCTCCGCAACAATGGCATCCAAATGTTTGCTTGCGGTCTCTTGGTACACTACAAAAAAAAAAAAGCACTTTCAGATACCTTTTTTCTAAGTCACCAAAAGTGTAATTTTGGTTGCTGAAAGCATTTGCGACATCAACAAAATTGGTTGCTAAAACCCTGTCACTAAATGATTTAGTGACCAAATAAATTATTGTCGCCTTTATAAATAAATCGGCGACCAAATATTTTAGTCGCCAAAAGACTAAAATTTTGTCGCCATAAATTAACATTTAGTCACTAAAAGTAACCTTAAGCGGATGACATGTTAGGTTTTAGCGACATATAAATGTGTTGCTAAAAATATCTTTCAGCGACTAAATGATTTGGTTGTTAAATGTTGAAACTTTGGTGAACAATCAAGTTTTGGGTCGCTAAAAAATTTATTCACAAAGACTTTCAACAACAGAAACAAAGTGTCACCAAAAGTAAATTTACAACTGAAAAATTTGTCACCAAAAATTTATTATTTATATATATATATTTTACAATTTCCCTCTTCAATACATAATTCATAAACTTATAAACATAAGCAAACTATAATTCAAATTAACACATTTGTGCAAAGCATCCAAAATATAATCTTAATTCAAAAGTAGTAGCATATTAAACATAAGAAAAATATCAAATCCAAAACATCCAACATAAGTTCAAATCCCTTACAATCCCAAACTTCAAACATGTAATTTCAAAAAAACTTCAAAGCTTGCAAATTCATAACAAAAACATATTACAAAATATATTCAAAAATTCAAAATGTAATCATTTGATACTCCCCGAACTATGTTCCATCCATTGCCAATCTATCAAACATATGAAAAATATTACAATATTAAAATGTTAATAATAAAATTCTTGATCTTAAAACATTGGTTTCACATTATAGATGAACAAATTAGGAGCAAATTTTTCTACGGTGAATTACAAGATTTCATTATACCAAAACCAAAAAGTAACACATGATTCACCAGTTAAAACTTGGCATATATGAACTAGTTACAAGCAATATTTCTACAAGTTTGTAAATCAGTCTCATATTGTCCAACCAAAATCTAGCTCAAATTTTGTCATAATGGAATATTGATAAAATCCAATTTCAAGGTTCCAAAACAAGAGCAAATATCAACTGAGTAGGAGCTACCAATGGAATGAGATTTCATCCAAAGTGCTACCCTTACTTTCATGACTAAATTGAAATCACAAGGACCTAAATCTTAAACTTGAGATTTCTTTCACTTACATTAAAGTCAAAAAGTTGCTCAAATAAAAACTAGAATGAATATGAATAGTTTGATAGCATTGTGCCCACAAATGATGATATGACAGCAGGATGCTATGACAGCACCCACCCCAATCCCTACTAATATATACCTTTAACTCAATTACACATATGTAATTTATTGACAAGTTGTATTAATAATAATAACTGATAAATAAGAATTACTATTCAAGTAGAGCATGCAATGTAGAGTAAAGGGTGAAAAAGAATCCTATAGTAAGTGATGACATTGATATATAAATTAGAATTGCTATATAAATTATGGTCTTCAAATTGTTACATATTAGTTTAGTTATTTTTGTAAAAGCCTATTCATCTATTTTGGCAATTTGACTTGTTTATTTGTTGAGTTAGACATGAAATTGGGATTTTTGAAGCAAAACACAACAGCCAGCCCCTGATTAGCATATTTGGTCTTATCTTATTTACATATCAAATAGTTCATTGGGTCATCTAATTGTTTGTCATATCATGAATGCTCAAAACATTAGGATTCCATATTTTTATGTATGTATGTGTTGTGCTACGTTCGCAGTAGTAAAAAGAAATTAAGAATACAATAAGTGAATCCTCTAATAGTCACAAATTTAATAAAAAAGTGTCAAAATTTTCTAAATAAATTAAAAATGCCTTAACAAATAGTCAAAGATTACCTGACGTAGTAATTGCCCCCAACGAACGAGTGCAACTTTTTTATCTCTCTGCATTAACTAATAACCTATAACCTTGGCAATTGTAAACCAAAGTTTAAATTAAAATCGCACTATACATGAAATTAATAGAGAGTTATGGTAATGAAATGAATGTCAAATAACATATAAGGATACTCATGTCATGTCTTCAATTTTTTGAATTGTCTACCGTATTTGTCATACTTACTCGCCATGGATATGTACAAAATAAACAATTTGATTATGTTACTATATATCGAACCAAAATGTGATCTATACATCTAAATAAATTATTGTACTTCTAATCTAGACAACAATTGAATCAAGTATTCCCCACCAAAGCGCCAAAAGCATGTTTCTAATTTCGTCAGTTTAGTGTCATGTACATAGATTGGAAACTTGGATTGAAACAAAAATAAATATTAATTAAAGCAGTGTCATGGCATGGCATCATACAAGTCAAAACCTACAAGCAAAAATTATAAGTAAAAATCACAAGCAAAAAAAAACAAAACTCTGTTTGTATATAAAAAGCACAACTTCTATGAATTTAAATATTAATTTTAAACTCTTATATGACCAATTTCAAATTGTTT